TGATGAACAAGTTGGGAGATCCTGAGGCAAGGCGTGCAACCAAGGCCTCCGGGAACTCAAAACGAACCCGAACATGGATGTTCACCGAGTGTTCCACCGGTGACGTCCAAGTCTTGAGGACAGTCAAAAATGGGGTGTCTACACTTACGAACGTCTGCAAGAAGAAACAGACATTAGAAACAGATAAAATATTGAAGACTTGAATAGAAACAACTAAAGTATTGACGCTGGACTCTTACCATTGCCCTCTTTAATTGATCGGGGAAGAGGGTAGAGATGGGTGTCCTCGTCTGCACCAAACTCCCAATTTCCCGAAGCAATAACATAATAATCTCCAGCCCCCTTGTTGGAGTCTGGGAGGTCGGCTACGATTTTGTATTCTGTCGACCTCGGCTTAAGATAATAAACGAAGCCTTTTTCCTTCAGGTTAAGGGGGCACATGGTATAATAGTACTGGATGTCGGCAAGGGTGATCCTAGCGTTCTCCTGCCTAGCTAAAACTATGATGCCATTGATAACTTGATAAGAGTTTATGGCCAGTTGCATAGGGTTCAACTTGTAAAAGTGAAGAATTTCGTGAAAGAGAATGTTAAGTGGGAGCCGGAGTCCACACTCAGTAAAAGCTACTATGGGAAAAGGCATTGAATCATCTGTGGGCATGATGGAGTCATTATCTTCAGCCAACCTCAGATGGACATCGGCAGGAATAGAGAACTCTTGCCTAAAGTACTCAAGTTTGGTCGGGGTGTCTACCCTATGTCCCCACATACCCATAACGTCGGTCTAAAATTAGAGGGCTAGGTTTCAGAAAAAAGATGCTCTTAAGGGGTTATCAGGACCTCGGCGAAACCCTAGGTATATGCTGGTAAGGATTGTTTCAGTTTTTTCCTAAGAATTGATAGGTTCTATAGACAAATCCCAAACCTAAATCTATGAAGGCAAAGATTGAAAGAAAAAATTGAAGGTAGAGATCTGGCAAAGACACAAAAAATAGAAAACAAAGGCAAAGTTTCAGAAACAAGAACAGGGATGGGCTATCAAGAACATGAAGAATATGAGAAATAAAGGACCAAGATCAGTGGCAAAAATACAGTGAAGTGGTGCAACGGTGCGTGTGTTCAAGATATAGGCAAGGACCAAATCAAGGAATAAACACATTCAAATGTATGATTCACAAAATAGATATTTGAGCAAGGCAGTAATAACAGGAGATTCCAGAAATGGTCAAGAATTGAAATCAGAAGGAGCAGTTGCTTACCAGAAAAAATGAAGTCGGTGTGAGGATTGCCGAAGTCAGTCGGTAGTTACAGATGTGGCAGAACGATGAAAGTTCTACCAGGAAGACAAATACAGAGCTTGGAGCTTCAGTAATGGCGGATTTGAAGGAAAGAATTTTAGAGAGAGAAGAAAGCAAGTGAATCAAAGCACAAAGTGAAAAGACGAAAAGCAAAGATAGTGTCTTTGTTGAAAACGTGAAACGGCGGCAAAATAAGGCATTTATTGCGCTTGGAAAACCGCATGCGTCAGACGGCGCAGACAGATTAAAATGGCTTACAAGCGCGTCACAGACACGGGCCAATAAAGATGAAACGTGTGCAGGAAACGATTGAGAAGTGATGCATGACAGCTCATGCGCGTGGGAAAGTTCATTTGAGTTCTTGTTCTTGTTCTTGAAAACAAGACATATCGGCTTAACAGGAATAATCTCGACCGAAGAGTTCTTCCGCCGAGGTACTGGAAGATAATACGGAAATAGGTTCCATCACCTCAGAATGTCGAGGTAATAGAACCTAGGGGGCAGCTGTGGGGATATATTTTCTGAGTACCAACACGTGGCAAGGTGACGCCGACGTGTCAGCCGAGGTGCCACGTGTCCTGGTCGTGACGCCGACGTGATCTCGGTAAAGCCGAGGTTATCTCCGAAGATATCGAAATCCGAGATAAGTGGATAAGGGGCAAGAGTCCTAGAGTAAAGAGAAGACTTTGCTAAGATAAGGATAAAGCTCTTAGGGAGTTTATCTTTATCTCTTGAGAAATCCAAAGTAAGCACTGAATGGGAGTCCATAGAAGTCAGGCTTCTAGTGGGACTAGGATTGAGTTGGCTATAAAAGAGAAGCACCCCCGTGGGTCTAAGGTACGCAGTTTTATACTTTGAGTATTGAGTTTAGCACTTGATTATCTTTGAGAGATATACTGACTTGATCGTCGGAGTGCCCCTAGGTGGAAGAGCCACCGCCGGAGCCTTTTCTTTCTGTTACAGGTTTGCTGAAGCCATCTATTCCGCCGGTGCTCTCTAGCTGATTACTAGGTGGGCAGTGTGGTCAGAAAATTACCCACACAGCTGCCTCTCTCTCTAAAACACCACTTCCCTCCTAGTGGGACTAGGATTGAGTTGGCTATAAAAGAGAAGCACCCCCGTGGGTCTAAGGTACGCAGTTTTATACTTTGAGTATTGAGTTTAGCACTTGATTATCTTTGAGAGATATACTGACTTGATCGTCGGAGTGCCCCCAGGTGGAAGAGCCACCGCCGGAGCCTTTTCTTTCTGTTACAGGTTTGCTGAAACCATCTATTCCGCCGGTACTCTCCAGCTGATTACTAGGCGGGCAGTGTGGTTAGAAAATTACCCACACAGCTGCCTCTCTCTCTAAAACACCACTTCCCTCTACAATAACTCTTGATCTAGGGCTCTCCTATACTATTTCCTTTGCATAAAAGTTAGAGCTCGGTGTGGGCTTCGTTTTGATCCGAGAATCTTTGAGTTTGGAGCATCTTGAGCTTTGTCCTTCTTCTCCTTTGAGCTCCGAAATCTGAGGTAGGGATATCCTACTCCATCTTATGGGTTTTGACATAAATTTTAGTCATTTGATTAGTTGGTGTTGTTGGGTAATTTTGGAAAAAGTTAAGGTTTGTTATGTAATTTATAAAAGAGGGGTTTGTGTTTTAAAAACTCCATGTGTATGTGAGATCTTGGAAAATGGTATTATTGCTGTTAAATTGAAGAAATTGAACCTTAGGGTTGATGTTTAAAGAAAGGAAAAAATGCCCTAGTTATGGTGGATAATTAATTTGAATAATTAATTTGGAGAAATGTGAAATTGAAGTGAAATTCACGAAATTGGAAAATTGTGGGAGTAAATAGTATAGTTGGATAATTTAATCACTCACCTATGAGAATGTCGATGTTTTATCTGTTGATAAATTTATTATCTGTTTAGAGATAACTGCTTTGGGCTATCGGTGAAAGATAGTCTTGATTGTTGTAGACATTGTATGATGATTAGGGAAAACTGAAACTAATGACATTGAATATGTCATTGAATATGACAGTTGGAATAATACAACAAATGTGTGTATTGATTGATCATTGTATATGATAATTGTTTAAATACATTGTATGTGTATATTGCTTGGGAAGAGATAGGGGATGTACTCCACGATTTGAGAGGAGATAGGAGATGGACTCCTAAACCGGATATTTGGGAGGAGATAGGGGATGGACTCCATTGATACAGCAAATTTGTGTATCACTTGTGAAGTATGGAAGTGTTTTAATATGAGTTATAATTTCATGTGAATCGTGAAGTTTGGAAGTGTTTTAATATGAGTCATAGTCTCATTGAATTGTTTGGCCAGGTTCTGAGCCATAATTATGAATTGAAACTGTATAAGTGAAGGAAATTGTGATGGAAAATGGATGTACTTGTTGTTGAATTGTAAAGTATTGTAAGTTGGTTTATAAGTGTTAATCATACATCAAATGCTATTGTTTTAGTTATTTCTCATACTTGGTTTAGTATATCTCTACTGGGCATTGGCTCACCCTATATGGGACATCATTTTCAGGTTCAGGTGATATGCCACCTCCAAGGACATAGCTTGGGAGGCTTAGAGGCTGAAGGATTTTTGTTGTTTATCTTTTTGTGTATTACATGTAAATTTAAGCCAATGGCTTAATGTGTATGAGTTAGTACTCTCCTTTTTTTGTAACCAAGTATTGGCTTGGAAAGTTGTAAGCCCGTAGGACATTTACTTTTGTTGTCAACATGTAATACTCTTGTGATAAATACTTTGATAAATAGATGTACACTTTATTCTCTTGAATATATTGTCAATTCCTTGTAACATGAATGCATGAATTATGGGCTAATTTTGAGGGCATTACAAAAAATAATAAATTATGAGATTTTTTTTAAATATTATATATAGTATAGATATGCTTAAATTTATTTGGAAATAAAATTGTATTTAATTATGGAATAGAGAGAGAATCTAGATATAAAATTTAATTTTTATTTTATATTATGCTTAATTTTAGGCTTATATAGATTAAACCAGTTGTGAAAGATATTAATAGTATATATTTTATGGGAGGTGATAGAGTTTCTTTTTTATTATATTTATTTTAGGAGAGAAAAAATTGTATGATATTTATATTTTTCAAAAATGCTAGAGACTAAAAAATAAACAGAAGGAGTGTTGGACAATTGGGAGGAGAGCTCAACAATTTTCCCAAAAAGGGGAACTCTCAAAATATGTTTGCTCTCAGCATATACAAAACCAGCAGCCAAGGAAATATCAGAGTCAAAAAGGTCAATTTTACAAAAAATGATTTGATCAGATTGATAAATTGGGTTAATAACACAAAAGTTGGGATCCCAACATAGCCAAATACGACCAGGGGTAGTATTGTCTGAGTTAGACACAAAAGCCCACTTATTCTTAAAGATTTTCTCAAAAACAGTTTGCTCATTAGTATGTTTAACTTTAGTTTCCAAAATGCCAAAAATTTTAAGATCGTCCTTAAGGACAAAATTCCTAATTTCTTTTTGTTTTAGAGGTTCATTTAAACCTCTAATATTCCATGAAGATATTTTAAAATCTATAATGAACAAACTGTAAATCACTATTAACCCAAACAAAAAATACACAATACTCACCTGTGCTTTTTCTCTGGCTCCCAGAGGTTTTCCCTGCTGCTTTTTTCTTTTTGCTGCCTAAAGTTGAAGAATTATGTTACTCCTTCTCTTGAATATCAGTACCCATACTAACCATTGGACTTTTTGCTGCCATTACTTCTCTCTTCACTTCTTCTATGATTTGACTTGCTTTGGGACTCAGGACTTGTGCCAGTCCCAGAATTTCATCATGTAGCGCCTTGAGTGGAACTTCTTCGTTTACTCCAGGTATGAGACTCTCCCTTGGAGGGGGATCTTGTTGAGGTTGTGCTGTAATAGGAGCAGAGTGGGATGACAGAACTGGTTGCTCTCGTGACTCTTGCAGAATAGGCGGGTCTTGTTGGCTTGGTGCAGAAGCAGATCCATTACCCTCAAGTTCACTCATTTTCTTTTTACCTTTAGCCTTAACAGTTTGCCAACCTCCATCCTTCTCATTCTCTGACTGCTTTTGCATTTGAACTAGTTGGGCAACTTGGTTCGTAATGCAATTCTTTGTGTTATGCCCAAACACCTTGCAATGTTCACACTTAGTAGGTAGGCCTTGGTATTCAACCCTAATTTCAACAACTTCCTCTTCACATTTGACAAAAAAACTCTGAGGAAGTGTAGATTCCACATTTACTTCCACACACACTCTAGCAAAGGAAATTCTAGTGCCAGAGGAGGTTAAATTATCCATAAAAAGAGGGGTCCCTATTAGACTTGGTATCCTACTAAGACCTTCAAAATCCCAATATTCCATAGGGACATGGAATAATTTGACCCACACAGGGATTTGGGACATATACTCTTTAGTTAACTTCATCATTCTCTTCCATCTCTTAAGGAGGAGAAGCTGGTTCCCAACATACCATGGCCCCCCCTCTAAAACCCTCATGTGTGAGTGATTTTCCGATCACACTGCCCAACTCAGTATTCAGCTGGAGAGCACTGGCAGAATAGATGATACCTGGCTAACCTGTAACAGAAAGAGAAGATTCTGGTGGTGGTTCGTCCACCCGGGGGCACTCCGACGATCAAGTTAGTATATCTCTCAAAGACAAATAATAGTGCTTAACTCACTAGACAGAATATAAATTGCGTACCTGAGACCCACGGGGGTGCCTCTCTTTTATAGCTAACTCAATCCTAGTCCCAATAGAAGCCTGACCTCTATGAACTCCTGTTCAGTATATACTTTGGACTCCTCAAGAGATATGGATAGATTCCCTAAGAACATTATCCTTATCCATCTTGAAGTCTTCCCTTATTCTTAGACTCTTGTCCTTTATCCGCTTTTCTCGGACTCCGATATCTTCGGAGATAAGCTCGGCTTTAACCGAGATCACCTCGGCGTCATGACCCTGACACGTGGCACCTCAGCTGACACGTCGGCGTCACCTTGCCATGTGTCGGTACTCAAAAATATATCCCCACAACTCCCCCCTAGGTTCTATTACCTCGGTCTGAGGTGATGGAACCTATATCAGTACCCCATGCTAATTCGTCGGTTTAAGCTGTGATCATCATCTTAAGGTGACATATCTTCTTAAAGATCAAGAATTCGAAGAGCTCCTTCACGCGTATGAGCTGTCATTCATAACAACTCAACTGTTTAATCCACGTGTTTTCTTCTTATTGGATCGTACTCCGGACGCGCCTATAAGTCGTTTTGCACCTACATGCGCCGTCTGACGCATTCGCTGTCCCAGGCGCATTAATCGTCCTCTTTTGCCGCCATTTCAAGTTTTTGACAAAACTTTTTCCCTCTTCTTTCATTCCTTCACTTTTGCATTCGATTCCTTTGTTTTTTCTCTTTCTAGCACCTGAGTATGCCATTGTTCCAGATCCCAAGCTTTGTAACTGCCTTCATTCCTTCTTCTGGTGATGCTTTCCATCGTTCTGTTACTTTTGTAACCAGTGTCTAACTTCGGCGATCTTTACACTGGCTTCTTTTCTTCGGTGAGTTTACTGTTCCTTTCGCTTTCAATTTCTTAATGCTTTCCATTACTTGCCACCACTACTGCATTTGTTTAAACTTTTAATTTGTGAATCATATACCTGAATGTGTTTTTTCCATGATTTTTCCCTTGCCCATATCTTGAACACACGCACTGTTTAACCACTTCCCTGTATTTTTGCCACTGTTCTTGGCCCTATACTTCTTGTATTCTTTATGTTCTTGATAAACCATCTCTGTTCTTGCTTCTAAAACTCGTTCTTGTTTCTGTTTTTTTTTTTTTGTGTCTTTTCCAGATTCGTGCCTTCAGTCTTTGTTTCCATAGACTTAGGTTTGGGATTTGACTGTAGAACCCACAATTTAGGGCAAAACTGAAACATCCCTTACAATTTTCTGCACCAGCTCAAACCTAGATTTTTTGCCGAGGTCCCAATAACCCTATTTAAAACATCTTCTTACTGAAATCCAATACCTTTAGTTATCCTGATATCATGGGTATGTGGAAACATCATGTAGACACCCCCTCCAAGCTAGAATTTTTTAGGTAAGAGTTTGAAATCCCAGTCGATGCCAATCTGAGGTTGGCTGGGGATGATGACTCCATCATGCTTACTGATCACTCCATGCCCTTTCCTGTAGTTGCCTTTATTGAGTGTGGACTTCGGTTTTCACTTGACCATTTTTTCCGTCAAATCCTTCACATCTATAAGGTGAACCCAATGCAACTCGCCATCAATTCTTACCGAGTTATTACTGGTACCATAGCTTTAGTCAAACAAGAGAATGCCAGGATTACACTTGTCGATTTCCACTACTGTTATACCATGTGTCGCCTTAGAAAAGACACAGACTATGTCTACTACCTCAAGCCGAGATCCACTGAATATAAAATCGTAGCCGACCTCCCAGACTCCAACAAGGGAGCTGGAGATGATTACTTTATCGTCTCGGGCAATTGGGAGTTTCAGCCAAACGATGACCTCCATCTTTATCCCTTAATCCGAACTGTTTTGGGGGAAGGAGCTGGTAAGGGCCACCCGTCATAAGTTTTCTTATCTTCTTGCACAAAGTTTTCAATATTCTTGTTCTAATGTCTGTGCTGTTTTTATCTTTGCAGTTCTTCCTCAGCCTCCAAAGAACTTTCGCCAATCCTTCCTCCCCAGCAAGGATTTGAAGAAGCTACTGAACCTTCCGATTCACAAACGGAAGGCGCTTTTGCTTCTCAACTTTATCCCAACCTATAAGTTAGCTCTGCTTGACATCCCAAAGAGGAAGAAGAAAAGCCTTTCTCCACTTCTGCCACAACTCCACAGACTGCGTCCTCATCTCGGATAGATCAAGGGTTAACTTCCGATCCAGCTGATCAGCCATCAACCTCGGCTTCATACTTGATTCCAATATCACAACGCCGTCGTCGACGCCAAACAGTTTCTACTGCCGAGATGGGTTGCCCAAAACCAATTACAAAAGATCTCTTGGCCAGCATCCCTTCTGATATTGATGCACAACCAACACAGACCCTGTCTCCTCCAAAGCCAAAATGAATCAAAAAGCTCAACCAAAGGCTAAGGTAACTCAGACTGAATCTGTCGATGCTTTGCCAATATCCAAGTTGGCTGAGAGTGACAAATCTCAACCCTCTGCTGGGAAGAGGCGCTCTGAGGCCTAACCATCCGAATCGCCAAAATAAAAAAAAACCGAGGTCATCTTCCGCGACGACCTCGGGGTCTAAGAAGCCTGCTGCCCCCTGGGTGTAGACGTCCCCGAACGTCCCGGGAGGGAAATCCCCCCGTTTTGTTCATATGGGCTCACTACAGTTCAGGACTCAATGTCACGGTCTTGTATCTAATCTCGTAGAGTGCAATGCAAGACCGATGAAATCATCAAAGAGTCCAAATCCGGCAAATCGTTTTTGAAAACAGATTTTTTTAAAGAAGTGCCAAACATGGACTGCTTTGCCAGATACAGAGTCGCCATCTAAATATTTTATTTTGGAAAATTTAGGAAACCCTAACTCGTTGCCTGAGGCCACGTGTCCGTCATCACCAAAGTTGCCTCAGCTCAAGAACTTGGGTACGATTGGGGAAGGTCACTTCGTGAGCACCCCCGCTCGCCCGATCAAAGATCGGCCTCTACTAACCATGATATCTAGTTTTGAAGACATTATGTGTTCTTATTCCGGTTATTAGCCTAGATTTACTATGTGATGCGCACAGCATACAAGTATAGACTGGATCGCCTGAATTGGAACGAAACATCTCATGTTTGTTTTGAAAACGGTTTGCTACCCGCAGGTAGGCTAAAATGTGAATTTGCCACCCTCAGGTGGGCTTAGAAAACAAGATGATTTGCCACTATCTAGTGGGCTTAAAATCACAATTGATGAATTGTTCAATCCAAATAACCCAACCTTCACCCACAGGCATTCAGGCAGTTATATCATATAAGCACATAGGCTCATGGTAAGCATGCAATCATGGCAGTCACTCACATGCATGCAAGGATGCTAAAGCATAAACTTACCGAGTACTCCAAGCCAAACAGAAAGCTATGTTAGAAATCTATGCATGATCCTAACTATACAGAAATGCCTAATGCAAACACATGCAAAATGCAACTAAGATAGGCCTTGGCTATTCTAAAGATGGCATATGAAATGCTACAACTAACAGTATTCAACTTGGAATTGAAATACAAATGCAGTTAGTATGATGCGCCGAGCTTGGTGCATGCAAGATAGATGAATGATGCAAACATGCAAGCATAAGTATGCTAATTGAAACATGCCCTAATCTAACCATCATAAGCAGGTAAATAAAAGGGAGAAAGACGTGGGGTGGAGACATACATCACACTCACGCACACTTATTACAATTGTGCCTCCGCTCGGAGGTCCGAAAGAATAATACAGTCTGAATAAATAGTATAGTCCGAATAAATAGTACAGTCCGAATAAATACAAAATCCTAATTATAACAAATTAATCTAGGAAAACAGGTAAAATTAACACACAAATCCATGGACTGCCTCAGCTCTGTTCCAAATGATGAATGATGCATGCTCGAGTCGCCTTGCGCAGAAATCCATTACGATGCCCCGGTTTGCCTCTGTTTGCAATTAATGCCGGAATGCTGTGCAAGGCTTTAGAAAGCTGCTGATTTCTGATTTGCTGCAACAGAGAGCAAGAAAGGGGCATGGCAAAAGTATTTCACATATGTATGCATGACTACTCTTCAGGGAGTGTAGTCCTCGATTCTCGTGCCACCAATCACGCATATCAATGCATGATGGCCGAGGAGTCGAATTGCACGACTCAATGTGAAATGAATGCACATGAAAAACACAACAAGACCTAAACTCCATCATGGATAATCCGAGTGTCGGCGACCGGGAATTGAGACACGTTCCGTCACTCGGAGTACGAAACGTCCTCGTTTCCCGTGCTCGGGCTAACTCCTATCCCAAACACAATGTAAATGAGATGGCATACACAATGTGACTAACATACAACCTAGCATACGTAATGCTATGAATGGCATGCACAATGCTCGATGTAAATGGCATACACAAAGTTCTAACACGACCTAGCATACGCAATGCTATGAAACGAAAAGGCATACACAATGCATAATGGACTTACACCAACATGAGTGAACCTCCCACACTCACATCAGTAGCCATTAGATGAAAATGAGACAACGAAATGCGTGCACACATGCACCATACCGAGGACCGAACTTAAGGCATCAAATGCCACTCTACCAAAGCATGGCAAGGGATGAAAGATGGCCTATGAACATGTAAATTTCAGCACTAAAACATGATGCTAAATGATCCTGAATATGGAAATATGGCACCCGATGTATGGAATAAGCCTCGAACTCAAAACTAGGCACATGTATTGAACCACAAGTATACAAGCAAGCATTATTT